GCACTTGAGTGTGGGGGTTGTCACAGATTGACTCAGATATACCTGTTTGGGTTTTTTAAGAATCTGTTGAGTCTTTAAAGTGAAATCAATGAAAGCAAGGGTGTTTTAAAAACTATATAAAAAAAAAAACTATATAAAGTGTTTTTCCTCCTGCAAAATGTGGCATTATAAGTTAGTTCAAGCCAGATTGGAGTGAGAGAGCAACATCTTTAGAAGATAACAGGAAGGCTGCAAAGTGTACAGAAAAGCTGCCCTGATTTATCCTTTGCAGCTTTTAGGCAATGTCTGTCATTGAAAATATCAACATTGGCTTCTTTTCTGCCTTTTAACCTCTTAATTTGTAGCGATTAAAGAGAAAATAGCAAAAATCTGTATTGGAAGGCAACAGCTTTACAAAAACAGCTACAAAATTTTAGTTGCATCATATGTTTAAAGGTGATTATTCACAACAAATCTAACATAAATTAAAGAAAGGAGGAAATTTCTTGATTTTGAGTTATACTGTTTTAAAAGCAAAGTATAAAATTTTTATAGCTTAAAATGGAGCCGTTGTGTTTGCAGCATTTAAACTACACAACTTGACTCTACTTTCAAATAAAAAATGAGAACAGTAAAGTGAGTTACAATAGGGATATATATCCACATCTAAGGAAGATAAAAAAGTGGCTAGTTTTAATGATCAAAACAGAAATGTATTTAGTGCTTAGGTTCTAACAACACAATCCTATATTAAAAAACACATTTATAACTTTTTCTAAACAAATACAGTACCTACTTAGCAAACACATATAGAACTAAAATTGTTAGTGGTTGTCATTCAAACTTTTTTAGTCATAAATTAAACTTAATCTTTTCATAATAAAGTCTTTCACATTGACCAGGGTAACTTTAGAACTGCTTTGTTTAAATCATTTTAAGATTTTATTCTAAAGCAGCTGATACACTTATACACAAGAATCACAGTTTCAGTCTGTGTCATTCTGTAGAGAGTCAATATCTTGTGATTGCAAAACAAACCCAAGCTATGAATATAAGTTAGGCAGCTGGTAGAACATGTAAAAAAAGGTAAGTGTGGGTCCTTGTGTAGGCATTGTTTTGCATGAGCACTAAACTGTACTTTAGTCATTTATGTCTAAAAAAACTTAGTTTTAAATCTCTAGTGGTTTGTTTAAATGTAATCTTGCAAATCAAACACATGCTGCAACATTAACATGGGGAATTTTTTCCAAACAAAACTTCCAAACAAGCCATAGTTGTTTAGTCTTTTTATAACTGGGTCACTGGGGTTTGCAGAGTTTGATGTTAAGCTCCGTCTTCCAACAGTTTCTTTTGAGCTCTTGCAGCTTTGACTTTGGGTTAGAGCTGTTTAGATGTCCACTCAATGGAAGGATGGTAACTGCCTAAAACATCCCCAATGTTGAATGTTGAAACTAAAATCTCTTTAAATATAATCTTCAAAGTAAACTGGTGGGAAGTAACAAACGATTCCTCAAACTTAAAATTGATCTATTGTGTTGAATTACTGGAGAATCATCCATGTTGACTGGCCCTCTAAAAGATAATATGCACTAAATGATGCATTACTGATATCTAGAACTTGAATCTGTGTGTGAAGCTGAAGATTACTCGCTCTGCTGGCTGTGATGCTTTATGAGGAGGAAATCCAGGTTCTTCATGCAACAGATTCCACCTGACTTTGTGGGAGTGTTGCTTAATGTGAGTAATATAAACCCAGCTGGTCCTCAAAAAAGCTCCTGTGCCCAAAAAAAAACCTGTTGCTGTGATTTTACTGTAATCTTGTAATAACCTTTCTGCTGCTCCTTCTCATTGACCCTGCTGTTTGCCCACTGTTACTGAGTTATCCTCTGTACATCTGGAAAAGCTTAGCCGTCTCTCTTTTCCACACTACATCCATAATCACATCCACAGCCCCAAACATCTTCTTTACATTAGCAAAGACTGAACTATGAGTTAAAGCATCCTGCTAACATCTGATTCTGTTGCAGACAGAATATTAGTAATGGGTCCTCAAGGTCATTTTGTGTAAAGAAATATAGTGATTTAACAGTTTTACAGTGTAAACACAAGGATTTTAACAAAACAGCCAACATAACATGATCTATTACTTGTATTTAAAACAGAAAAACAACTATGATTTTTCATTTTAAAAAAGATATCTGCTGCCAGGATCCTTTTTTAGTTTCCCATATGGAACATGTCTGCTGTTTGATAATCAATCAAACAACAAAAAAACAAAAACAACAACAACAAATATATCAGCAAAGTAATAGTTTAAGTTATACTTTGAACCAAGGGTGGTGGCATAGTTGTTAGGGCATTGCGCTTGGATCCCAGAGGTTCTGAGTTCAAGCCCCACTTTCACGGACTGCCACTCTGGGTCCCTGAGCATGACCCTTAACCCCCACACTGCTCCCCGGGCGCTGCACAATGGCAGCCAACTGCTCCGCAAAGGGGATGGGTTAAATGCAGAGAGTGAATTGTGTTGCTTTGTACTTGTGACAATGCAATGACAATAAAGTTATTTCTATTCTAATGCAGAAAAAATCCTATTATTGAGAATTGAACTGTGGAAAACCTAGACCTGAGTGACCGGTTTCCTTGTATGTGTCCCTTAGCATCAGAGCAGGCCTGTCAGTTGTACCGTACGGGCATATGCTGGTGCTTCAGAGCTTGCCACCCTTGAAAATACATCAAAGTGTAATACAGAATAATAGCACCGCTGACAGCTCTCATAAAGTTGCCCTCTTCCTGAGAAGCAGACGATTTCTCACTCAGATATTCTTTGTGATCAGGGCCTTCCTCTGCCTCACCTGTTCTGCCCCGCCTGCTAAATTACACCTGCGTACATGCATGCATGTCTGAGCCAGCTGCTGGACTTTTTTCAAAATCGTGCAAAGTCTCCTGGAAAAGACTGACAGGATGTTTCCACTGCAGAGAGAAGTGAGGCTTTGATATCTTGTAAGAGGCTGTGGCAGACGTGTTTTGTGAATAGGGACTGTTTACATACCAGCCCCGAGACTTTCACAGAGGGTAGGAAGAGTGTTCGGCCTCAGGATGAATTATGGATACCACATGTCTAAAGCTGAAGGCCACTCTTCAGCCAGAGTGCTTTTCAAGGATGGATAATTGAGGTACGCTGCTGGAAGATGCTAATATTCCACAGAGAAGGCCCCGGAAGCTCATTTAGAGCTCTGAATGTGTAATATAAGCTGCTTTAAGTTGTTCAATTAATTGCCTGTTGCACCACAGTTTTCGTTAATATGCATCAGCATCACATATACAATTATACATGCACACCTCCCAACCCTGGATCAGCAACATCCGGTTCATTGCATCCTGCACACACAGACACCCACACACACACACAGCCTCTCTTTTTATGAATCTCTTGTTTCGTTGAGGCACATGTACACACACAGATGCTTGGAATAGAGAGGAAGCCCACTTAACGTGAAAAGCATTTGCCTCAAGATGAAAGGCTTCACACCCACTGCCTACATGCAGAGTCTCTTCCGACACCTTTCAGAGACGGCGCATACTGTAGCAAAGGCTTGTGCTACGCAGACACACTCGAGCTAGCATCCCTCCCCACACCCATCGGCACCGCAACACGCTTGCATCCCTGCCTGCCTCTCATTCGCTCTATTTCTCCCTCTTCTCCTGTCAGCAGAGTCCTCCTGCTACAGCAGCCACTGAGAGAGGAATAGAAAAGGTACAGAAGCAGTAGGACTTGACTGCCGAGAGAGAAGAGCTTCCATTAAATGCCCAAGGTGCAGCCGCCTTGTTTTCCCCCTACATCGTTCGGCGTGGCACTGTGGGGTTTTTCAGGCGTGGAACATGCTCAGCCGCATGCAGGGCGTGAAAAGCAACACTGGCTGTGATGCTAGATAATTGCTTCCCATTTACCCGTGTCCGAAGACAAAAATAGCATGTCTCTATAACGAATGTTGCCGTTGGAGCATGGGAGGTATGATTGCTGTGGCAGTGGATAGATACACAAAGTGGACAGTGTTTTGCAACCATAAAGTCTACACATATCTACACCACCTAGCAACACATTTGAAGCTAAACCATACAGGGAAAATGCTCAATATTCCAGCTTGTATAGTCAAGGTAGACTCTTTGACAATTACTGAATGTAAACACAGCTTTTGTATGCGCTTGTGGTTAGGTGACAATGCCAAGAAAAGTCCAGACATTGACACAGGCCTAACTGTTGTTTTTCACACCTCAATGCTACCTGCACCACATCTGCAGATCGCCCATCAGTCCCCAAACTCACCACCGAACTCATTCCCTCCTCTGAGTCAGCCCAATCTCTCAATGATTGCCCTAAGTTCATGCTTTATCTCCTCCTTGATAGACATTTTAGGTTCCTGCAGTGGCTCTAAATGGAAAGCAACATTTAACAGAAATTGTTTGTGTTTTTAAACATCAGGACTGCTCCATGCATTTGGGATACATGTTCTCTCCCCATCCTTGCCATCAGCAATTACAGTGTTTATTATCATCTCTACAGGAGGTGTGCATGCATCTATAGGTACTGCTTAGTCCTGCTGCACAGAGACATGTAACAACAAATCAAGCTGCAAATAAATCACAACATATGCATAGCAAATCTTATCTTTAACAGCCAAAACTGGCTCTGCACATCAGTAAACCCCCTTCTTTCATTTCATCTCCAGGTATTGCAAGCATGCATCCAGGTAAAGCAGGGAAGCAAAATGACAAATCAAATCTAGAATCCACATTGAAGTTGAGTATGAAAGCAGTAGCAGTATAACCACTGCAGTGCAGTACTGTACACAACCAGGTGCTGAGATTCCTGCCTTTTAGAGCCCACACAAGGCTAACCATGCTGGGTAACTGATCAACTACAGCTGCCTGCACAAGCACAACACAAACAGAGAAGGAAATATGAGCAAAAACAAGACAAGAGGGAGAGGACAAGCAACGGGGTTGGCCTCTCATGTACTCACCAGCACCGGCAGAACACAGCAGAGACACCAAGAGCACAATCACCAGCGTCAGGATCTTCACATTCATTTCTGCACTCCCCTCTGGCTCTCCGCTAGTCACTCGCTGATATACTGTAGTGGTGTGTGTGTGTGTGTGTGTGTGTGTGTGTGTGGATGGGAGGGGGAGAGAGAGAGAGCAGCTGAGCGAGCACGAAAGAGAGAGAGACTGCTTTTTCCTCTCTATGTGTCAATTTCTAGGAATGTGTGTGTTTGTATATCAGTGTGTGACAGCTCCCTTTCTAAGACTGAAGGCACGTCTTTATCTGAGCTCCCCCCCAGAGGTCTAACAGTGTGTCTTCTTCTCTTCTGTCAGAGGATCGGCAGCAAGTTCAGAGGAGCTGTGAGTGCTAGAAGTAAGTCTTCAGGTCTGTCCGTCTGTCAGCGAGCCGGTGTGCATGTGAGCCTCCTGCCTTGGATATGGAGCCTGCTTGGTCATGTGGCTTATGTATCACTGACTCTGTGGGTCATGGACAAGCCCTCCTGCCCCACCATTACCCCTCATCTCCACCCCTTTCCTGCAAACATGCACGTGCGCGCATCTGAGGAAGAGGGGGGAAAAGGGTGGCATTAGGAGGGAGGAGGTGGTGCATGTAGGTTTATGATAAAACAGTTGTTAAAAAGTTTTTGAACTGCACACGGCGTTTTGCCAGGGTTTTTGGGAAATCAAAAAAAGCAGCTTATTGGGGGGGTGCAGATAAAAGAAAGGAAGGTATGAGCTTTTGTGTATACACCCGCTTTTCTTCTACATGCTATCCACTAAATCATCTGCATCGTTTGAAGTTAAAGTCCGTGACTCTCCAAGTAACAGCAGGAAAAAACTTATCAGACCATAGCCTGACTTCACTGCTCACACTGTTTGTTTCTGCCCCCCCAAAGTCATTTGTTTTATTTCTTTTCACAGACTATATTCTTTCCATGAACAAAAGCAAGTGAAACCCCACCCTATGAAATAAGAAGGCTTATTTTTTATTTCATGTGTTTATCAGACAATAAACAGGAAAGGTTGCTGTGAATTGTGAGAAGTGCAATTTTCCTTATCGCCTTTGGCCAAGGAAGACAAAGTTTGTCCTTTGGAGAATAACATTTTTCAGGAAGGACTATAAATTTTGTATTGTTTACCATAAGCATGTAGAATATGTAAAAGAAACAATGAACTCCACCCTGTTACATCATTCTATACTTCACCCTGGAGTTGAGGGATCTCGTCCAAAAGTAATTCATCAGACTGCAGACCGCAAAGGTAAAATTCGGTAAAGAAAGAAAATAAATAAGATACTTAAAAGACTGATTAATCTAAATTATATATGTCTAAGTGATGAACTGTTTACATGGGGTCAATGTACTGTGAGTCCAAAGATCTGAGTCCCCAAAGAGCTGCAGTGACACATGATGGATGGAGCGCTTTCGGTCACAGCCGTAAGAAACAACCCTCCTCCCCATATTGGTCCTCCTCCACACAACCTCTTTTTATGTGTTGTCACTAAACATTCAATTTAGTGCCGTGGATCTGAGAGGAGAGGCCCAGTGACCCTCTACTCTGCAGCTCCCACTTCTCACAGCTCTGCTATTGTCTTCACAAGACCCTGAGGTCCCAGAGGCCAGGGTGTCTGCCACCCACTTGAGATCCAACAACAAGAGCACCTTCCATTTTTACATGCAGCACTTGAAGCTTTCACTTTATATGAAGCAACTTTCACACCTCACGGGTGACTAAAAGACCTGGAGGCTGAAGATGCTTATCCAAGCCTGACCTTTTTTTAGCGCTAAGATAACTCGACCAAGTGCTTTCCAAGGAGTCCGTTCCCCACATTTTCTCAGAGGTGCTCACTGATCACTCACAGAAACCCAGAGTAATTATTTCCAACGGCACATAATGAGCAATTCAGGGAGTTAGAGTTCCATTACAGACTAATCTAGTAATCACGAGTAGTTAATTTAAAATACATTTTCATGAAACATTCAGAAGCAGTCTCAAAGAGATAAGGGATAACAGCCTGAAAAGTAGTTTCAAATCCACAATTAATGTTACACTCCCTTATAAGTATTTATACCCCCTTACTTCACATTTCTGTCCTTAAATATCAGCTTCTTCTATTTGGATTTCTGAGGGCAGCCGATTAAAGACATTTCTTTTTCACTTTGATTGCAGGAAGAAATAGAGTACTGAGTTAAAGTGTTCGTCTCTTACAAGATTTATTCTACTTTTTTCCTCACACTTTATAGATTCTGTTCAGTAGATCTTACATGAAGATTAAGAAAACATGTTCAGGAAACTTGTCCCTATGTGGTAGGGTCATTGCTAAACAAAATAACTGTTATCAAGCATCTAAAATATATATAATTTAAAAAGTAAAAATTAGTGTGGTACATCACTGTGGAGGATGGTACCACCTCTTCTGTGCAGAATTGTTTTAATCATATTACGCCAGAGGTTTTTTAAGCAGGAATGGACAATTTAATGTCAAACTACAGCCTCACAATCGAATGAGATTCTTGCATTTATTTAGTGTCTGTAGTTTGGATTCTTTCGGTCAATCTTTACTGGATTCAGGTCTGGACTTTGAAATCCGCTGTTCTGAAATCCCACTGTATCTCCTTGTCTTAGGGTTTCTGGAAGGTGAATCTTCATCCTTGTTTTAGCTTTTTCTTTGGGGAGCTGTACAAATTTTTTTCTTTTCTCTTAAGGAACCATCACCAGAGCAACGCACCTTGGTACTCCTTCCACCCCACCTTTCACCATGGTAATTATTTGTCCAGAATAATGTGCAGATTACTTTGGGATTAATCTCTCCATTTAGATTATTTTGGGTGTTGGTTAGTCCCATTTGTTCAGATCACCTCATTCCAGATGTTTGCTTTTCATCTGGTAGCACTGAATTTTATCTAAGGTTTAAGTGTAAAGAATACGGAATACTAATATTATTATTATTATTATTAATTTTATATTGCAGTTTGGCTTCTCTATGTGTTTTGTTGATCACACAAATCCCCCTCAAATTAGATTGGAATTTGTGGCAGTAACACACAAAAATGTTTAAAATCCAAAAACAGCAGTTTTCATTTGTATATGAAGTCAAACTAAAAGTATCCAGTATGCACTAAGTCCAGGTGTCCCAGTGTTATTTTATAGCCGTGGATTGATTAGCTGTTAAAATGTAATACGGACATCGGTTAAGGCCTCGTGAGCCATCGCAAAGTTGGCATTGAGGGCTTAAACATTAGCACCCCATTACCTTTAAGTAGCTTGAAGCAAAGCCTGTAATGAAAGGCTAGCAGATGGCGTTTCCTGTGTGTTTCAGTGGATTGTGTTTGTAAGACAGTGGGGGATTTGGAGGTCTTTATGCTCAGGGATGTGGGGAGATACCTGGCAGCGCCACACAGTCAGCGGCAGCAGTCAGAGGGCAGCTATTGAGCCCATACGTCTCAACACGGGAAACACTCGGCTGTTTACAGGAAGTGTTTGATGAAGGAAAGCTGTAGATGCTGAATGAAGTCACTGATGACGACTTTTCCTCATTCCTGAGCTTTAATAATAGGCAGACATTCCTAAGATGATGGAAGAAAGGTATCCCCCAGCATTATTCCTTCTTTTTCTCGTGTCAGTTACGTTCTCATAAATGCTAAAAATCATCAACAGGTGTTCCTCCAGTTATGGATGAATGAAAAAAAGCCACATTACCCGTTATTATGTTTCCTGTTTATCATCCGTTTCTAAATAAAGCCGTCAGATGCTAATGAAGTGTGCGGATGTTTGTTTGCATTGCTGTTTGGATGATTAAATGAACAGTGGCAAGTTGTTTTTTTTTTGCTAAATACTTCCACATCCGCTGCTATGTATCTAGCATCTATTAGATACAGCAGCCTTTATCATAACAGAAAACAAATCAAACATCCGTCTCTGCAGGAGACTGATTGGTTTGGCTGAATGCAAAACAAAGAAGACCTGAGGTTATTAGAATATTGCAAAGCTTTCAACACAGAACTTGACTTAATATAATTAAATACTAAGAATCAGAGGAGATATTCTACATTTAATTGTGCCTTTATCAGCTAACTTACAAATCTATATTCTGCAAAGCCTGCAGAAAAACTTCCTGCTAAGATCCGGTTGATCTTAGCAGGAAGAGAACAACTCAAACACTGAGACATTTTTACTCATTTTTTACTATATTTCCTGAATCATTCAGGTTCCTCATATTAATCTCAAAACAGTGAGTTCTCTTAAGATGTAAGGGTTAGCAGTTATTCATATGGTAATTTGCATCAACTAGAGAACCAGATAATTCAGCCAGAACAGAGGTATTGGGCTTAAAAGGTTTGATGTAAATGTAATAATGATTTGGAAAAACAGGCAGATGATGGCTGAGCAGGCTGAGATTGTTGAACTGACTGGTGGAAAGAGGCTAAGAATGGGGGTAAGAACAATCCGAAACAGAAAACAAAGAGCCACAACTTGCAGGGAATTATCAGCAGTAGATGAAGCTGATCGCTCAATCAGCTGAGATGAGTAGAGCAGGAGGAGGAAAACAGCAAGCCAGTGGGTCCGAGACAGGTTGTGATTTTTCCTTTCTCTAATTCTGACTTTAAACCTGAAATATTTGATGTCCAAATTACACTGATCCAAAGTAGAAAGCACATTTCACAACATTAAACATACTGTAGCAGTTATACTTCTTCCTTTTTACATCCGGACTGAAATTCCAGATAAAAGTAAAAAAATGTTGAGTTATTACGTTTCATCATCAGTTTGCACAAATGTGTCCACATACTGTAACTGACCACATTATTATTTCTCTTTAGGACAGGGTGACAGGATGACCCATATTCCTGGTGACAGCGCTTGTTCCAGCAAAATATGTCCCCAAAAATGTCCCTAGTTTTAGGGTCTGATGAATGAGAAACAATTGTGCAAAACTCGTATTACGGTAGCCTTGTAGAGTGAAAACTAGGCATGTTTCAGAGGCACATGCCAATTGCCCTGTCTTTAAAAAAAAGAGAGAAATGTACAAGATTTTTTGGCATGGCTGGGTTAAATCAAAATCTGTGACCCGCTTCATAATTTTCCCGCGATGTTTTCATCGCTCACACAGGGCTGAGGTAATCATAAAGTATCATGCAAAATGTTCTCTTTTTGGCCAGTATCACGTCATAAGGTGTAACACCGGCGTACAGCTGTTATAATATCAGGATGGTGATAAGGCCAAAAAGAATCACAAACTGTGTGAAAAAAGCTCTTTTCATTTGAACTCCATCAAATATCAGATAAAATTTTGTCAAATCATCTATGATCAAGTTAATTTGTAGCCTATTTTCAATTACTATGACTATATTTCGATTTTTAAAAGAAATAGGAGACTGGAAAAAAATCACCTTAATGATATTCTGTTAAATTAATGTTGTTAAATCATAAAGATTTGCAA